GGCGGATTCTCCGCCGGTGCGGAACTTGAACATCCTCCTATGCACAGGCGTTCGCCTGTGCGCAGGCGAATTCCGTGCGCGGCGCAGCGCTGGCGCGGGAGGCGTTGACCGTGGTCAGCCGTCTCCGTCCAGTCTGTCCGTTCCTTGTCTCTTCGTCGGCGCTTCCGCCGCCGCAACTCCGTCCGTCCAAGAGCGCTTCCACCCGTCCCGTCCGCATGGTCCGTACCGATTTGATTACTCTGGCGGCTCTTCCGCCGTACGCGGCGCTGCGCTGGCGCGGAAGGCGCCGTACACGTTCTACCTCACAAGGCGCATTTCTAGGGCCCAAGGCGGATTTTCCGCCGACGCCGAAGCGCCTGTGCACAGGCGAACGCCTGTGCGTAGGCGGACTTCGCGCCTTCCCTAACCCTACTTCGCCTGTGCACAGGCGAACGCCTTCGTCCGCGCATAGGACAAAACTTGATTCCCCCTTCCGCGTAGGCGGAATTCGCGCCGGTGGCGAACTCTTTCTGCCGTAGGCGACCGCCTCCGTTTCTTCCAATAGTGATAACTCCCTAAGTCCTCATCCGTTCCGAGCGTTCTTGGACTCGTTGGAATCAGTGCGTCGAGCTCTTTCCAACGGGTCCCTAACTTGGTCAAGGCGCCCGAGGGTTGACCTAATTATGGAGGGTTTCCCTACAGCCGCGGACGCAACCTCCGAAGGCGGGTTTTGCGCCTTGCGTCGTAGGGGTCCTAACTGCAGAGCTCGCAGGGAGGGTGGTGTCTGTTTTTACTGCTGCACCCCAAATCCCAGATTCTACAAGATCCCTCGAGAATCCCCGCGATCTTCCGGATTCACTCCGTTTTGATGTACCGAAGGCTATTCACAATGCTGCCAGGGTACAGTTTTTCAAAAATGTTTTAATTTCCTCAAAATTGCAAAAAGTGGAGTACCACAGAGAGTATAATCATTGTTGATTTCTTTCTCATCTTCTAAATTTTGTTTCAACATCAAATGAATTCATCTCTTGATGTCTAGTATTATATGTATATGATTGATTTGATTCAACCATAGATTTTTTTTGTCAAATCTTTATGAATGTTCATGCTCCTGGACTTGGCAAAATTTTTCATCTTGAATGCAGACTTCAACTTGTTCTTGTATTTTTCAATGTTGGATTGGTTATTAGTTAAGATCAACATGTCATACACATGAAAAGCTAGATTGAAGATCTCATTATCTATCTTCTTCATGTATACAAAAGTACTATGCTTATATCGTGAAAAATCTTGTGCTTTCATGAATTCATCAAATCTCAAATCTCACATTCCATTGACTAAAAGCTTGCTTCAATCTATATAGTGTTTTCAACAATCTACATATCAACTCCTTTTGATCTTTCTTCTTCAATATAGCTTAGATTGATAATTCAAATAATGATAAAAATACTGTAAATTTTTATTATCTTGCAATTGAGAAAAATATTATAATTTGATTAGATTTTGAAAGTACTAATTTAAATTGCCAATTTTTTTTATTTTTAACCTCTAGATTCAAATTGATCATTATTATTTTGCCAAAATAATTGAAAAAACTTGGCAAATAGTAGTATTTTTTAACTATATAAAATTATATATCTATAATATTATTATATCCATTATTTTATTTATATTTTTTATTTGATATTACAATTTTTATTAATAGTAATCACATTTTTTAATACTTAAATAATCATAAAGTATTTTATTTTCAGAAAATCTCAAATCTATGTTTTAATTATAAATGTTAGTTTTATTTATAATAAAAATATTATTTCAGTAATATACTTAAGTTTTCAGATTATAAATTTTATGGAGAAAATCAAGTGGAACAAAAAAAACAGTTAATGGAAAAATCAAGTATTAAAAAATAATAAAATATTTTTTAATTAAGATTTTATTTTCTTTTTATTGAATTTACAAAATAGATTTAAATTCTAAATTTATATTCAAAATGATCTATGTATATTGAAACAATTTGATAAAAACAAATTTGATTCATGTTTGTAATTAAATTATTATTTTGTGTGAATTGACGAGCTTTGTGTGCAAGATAAAAGTCTGAATATTGTGTTTATAGTCAAATCATTCACCATCGCACAATCATATAATAAATTGAAGAAGTACATAACATGAAATATTTTAAATGAAAATTTTAAATGAATTTGAAGATGAGAATAAGCAAATTTCCAGGTTGAAAAGATTATTATAAACTTTGAAAATATTGCATAAAACTTTTGTGCAACAGAGTATCTACAATCACAACTTTGTGTATTCTAAGATAATGAGTAAGATGAATTGAAAAATTTCATTAAGCAAATAAACATCTTTCATATTGGAAGCTATTACATGACAATTCTGCATCTCTACATGCATTAACCACATAATACTTATGTGAAAGTACATGATGGGATCCATCCGGAACATAAAAACTTAAAAAATCTAAACTATTCATTTTATTCTATGTAACCTCGCACTCACGGCTTGTAACTAGAGTTGGAGGCACACCCTCAAGAGTCATGTCCTCAATCACATTAATGCACACGGGCATGCATATACGTATTAATTAAACGTGTATTTGAGATTACGACTCATAAGTGAATACGGTTACTAATCGTGTTATGTGTCAACATTGAAATGGTTTAACATTACATGACACTTTGTAACAAAAAGAAAACCATCTACCTCACAACGTTGTATGTTCAAGGTTTCAAGATTAGGAAAGTGCTCGATAGATTTTGCTTTTCACGATTTCAGGATTTGGGATTTCTTCAATTTTTTTCTTCTTGAGTCTGTTTGACGCGTTTGACTGTTGCGTGACTGCCAACGACGCGTTCTAGAAATTCAAGATTGTTGACTGCTGCATGAATGCCGACGGCTGCTACACGACTCAAGTGACTTATTTGCTTCGTTTTTTTGTGTTGATGTTTTTTTTTGTTGATTCATTCCATTCCTTGATGAATATTGTTCGGAGTTGATCCTCACCGGATGACAAATGCATTCGATGGAACACGGCTATAGTGTCTCAAAGTGAGTGGCGCACGATCTTGATCCGCAGAAATAACTGCCTCCCAAAAGCAAAGCTATACAATAGAAATTACGCCGCTGTTGTGTAGTGGGCATGTGAAAAAACGTTGGACACTTTGGACGCCTACAACAAGACTCTCATCTTATACTAATTGTATAATTTTTCCGGGCGGGTAGGTACTGTTCATGGGGGTTTGCTTCGCTGAGGTTCGCTTAGTTGAAGTGAGTGTCCACCGAGCAAATGATATCTAGAGCAAATGATATTTAGGATGTGCACATTAACGGCCTAGGGGTGCTTCTAGCTATTGAGATAGATCGGTTTGATTTTCTAAAAATGAATGGAAGACTTGTAAATTTCTCGAGATAGTGGAACACAAGTTGTGTCCCACTATCAACTGCAAGTTCTTGTATTGAGAGTTCAACGATAGATTTCAGTTGGTCGTAGAAGGGAGCTCAAAATGGGGATTGGCCCTTGTTGACCCAACCTCGTCTATCATCAATTTTGTCGACATGCAAGACAGCCTCTAGCCAATCTGAAAGTGAGGGGAAGGTATGAAAGATAATTACTTTCTGCAATGACTTGATCATGCAATTTGATCATTATGTTACATAATTACATAAATCATGCGAATTGTGAATCACATGTTCTGGGTTCATCGAACATTGTTAGAGGGTAGTAGTAGTTACTATGGTAAACTCTCCGGGTTTTAAATCTTCTCTAACGCAATGATCTTTTGTTGAACTATAACTCACTAAACTGCACTTTTGAAATCGAAAACACATGTTACAAGAACTCGTAGAGTAACATTGGAAAAGGTGTGCCCTCGGAATGTCCCATAACGTAAAATAAAACGTCTAGGGTCTCATCAAGTATTTTGCATTCGGGATAGGTCCCATCAAGTAATTCTCTCTGCTATAGTACTGTAAACAACAATGATTAGATATCACCTTTCGAAATATGATCTGACAATGTTCCATAATGAGGAGGGGAAAATGATTCTATTCCGTTCCAACTACAGTTCGTATCACCGGTGTGATCAATATGTTGAAGGTATAGAATGTCAATAACCATTACATTTTGATTTTGAAGTAGTCATTCTATTTGAGCTGGTTCATGTTGAGACGTAATTAATAATCTGAATTGATATTCCATCGAGACTAACGGGTTGTCAAAACTACCCGTTAGTCTCGATGAGTTTAGGGTTTTACCCCATTTTACCCAATATATCAAATACAGTCCATAGACCCGCTTCCTGAAGGAGATCAGTGCCTCTTCTTCACGAAGACGAAGAGACCAGATTACTTGGTCTCCTCTGTCGTCTTCAGCAGAGAGGACAGCTGGAGTAAAGTTTACGACATCTCGTGTCTATGTTCGAAGCTGTAAGTCCACAAGTAGCCTTCAAATGTCGAAGAAATGGTAAGCCATCTGAGTCTCGGGGAGTCTCTTCGTACCAGGAAATTGTCCTGATCATCTATCTGCCTTTCTGCTGATAAGATCTTACTTGACGGATAAACTATCCACACGTTTCAGATATGAGTAATTCTGGACCCCAAGTCTGTTCATGGTCAAAGAGTCCAACGAACATCTGTGGTACCTTTATCGGGTTCGCTGATATTTCTGATCGAAGCGGTCATTGATTGAGAGAGATTTCACCTTTTTTCAGTGGACGATCCGTACAGCGTACACAATTCGTGCTATAGCAGAAACTTCCAGAGTGATGAGAAGCGAGTTCTCAGCCCAGCTACATTGCTCAGCTCGAAACCTGATCCCGCAGTGTTACAGGCTGCGTTTTGTCTCTTTAGCATGCCTCATCGCTAATCCGTTATCCCGCAAAACTCACCATGTTTCACCCTCATCACTAACACGTGTTTGTTTTACGCGCTTGTCAGGTTGACTTCTGGGGAAAATTGCGAGAAACTCCTGACATAGTTGTTTAGATGGTATTCTAAGAGCTGACGAAGAATCGCCATGATCTACATACACAGCACCATTTGATCGGGGAAAATCCTTGGGTTCTGAAGGGGTGAAGTTCCAAGCTCTCAGATGCTCCGGACGCTCATACGTTATGAAATATATGATGTATGAGCGCTTGATTACGGGCTCTCGAGACAGTTTGATATTGCCATTCAATCTATGCTGTTTCCGATGGAGAAATTGGTGAGAGGAGTACAGAATGTGAATCGGAAGCGCTGGCCACTTGTTGTCCACCTGTTGGTCTTCATTACAATTTTGGAAACAGTCGTGGCACAGTTATCGAACACGTCCAGTGCAGGAACAGATTTTGAGGCGCTTGTGAATATCAGAAACTCATTCGCAAGCACTTCTCTTTCTACAAATTGGACCGGATCGAACTTTTGCAGTAATTGGATAGGAGTGACGTGCAACAACGAAAGCCGGGTGGTCAATCTGACTCTGAGTTCGAAGTCGCTCGCTGGTACCATTCCTCTGGCTCTTGGAAATCTTACTAGTCTAGAGACTCTTGATCTTCATGATAACCAACTCATAGGGTCGATACCAAACGTCTTCTACAATCTTTCCTTTCTCAAAGTCCTAGACCTTGGTCAAAACCTGCTTCACGGACCTATTCCAGATTCAGTGTGCTCATCCTCATCATCGAGTCTGCTAAAACTATCTCTGGAAAACAACAATCTAACAGAAACGATACCCACTCATTTAACTCTTTGTACAAACCTGAAAGGTATTTATTTGGGTGGAAACAACTTCACTGGATCTATACCTAATTCGTTTAGAAACCTTTCCAATCTTGTAACTCTTGACATTTCCTTCAACAGACTAACGGGGACCGTCCCGTCCCTTCCAGATAGCTTAGAGACTTTGGCACTGAAAAATAACATTCTGACGGGTAATCTCAGCAATCTGTCTGGAAATCTTCTCCCGAGTTCCTTGCATATACTGAGTTTATCGGCAAATTCGCTCGAAGGTGAAATTCCAGGAGATCTTGGCAACCTTTCAAAACTGAACAAGTTGGAGCTCAATGACAACAGGTTTCATGGATCCATTCCCGACACATGGCATCGGGAAACACAAGCAAGTCTCGATACTCTAGATTTCAGCGTAAATAATCTCTCTGGTATTATCCCACCCAGCATTCAGAACCTTACAGATCTGACGGTACTCAAACTGGACCGTAATCACTTATCAGGGAGTATTCCCGGGTCATTAGTGAACATGCGTCTTTTGCACACCATCAACCTTGCACAGAATAACCTCACTGGAGAAATTCCGCCTCAACTTGTGAACCTCTTGCACGTCAGTATGCTCAATCTCAGTTGGAATCAGTTGACTGGTGTTGTCCCAGACGGATTCTTCAGTCTAGAGCAGTGGATAGGTGCAATTCTCAGATTTGACAACAACTCAGGCCTTGAGATGAATGTTGCAGCAGCCCCGGCAGTGATTGCTCACGAGGTTTCACAACCAGCGGATGGAAAGTCCTGGACGCTTACTATCATTCTTACTGTCGATGGATTGCTGGCTTTGGTTGACGCTTACGCTCTGTTACTTTACTGGAGAGTACGGAAGCCGAAAAAGGAGAAGAATGAACCTGTATCTATGTGCGAGCCCAGCATCGAATTCTCGGTGTCTGTGGAAGTGTTGAGGAAAGCTACCAACAATTTTCACGAGGACAACATCGTGGGACGTGGTGCCAGAAGCATCGTCTACAAGGGAACGGTGGGAATTGGTCAGATAGCTGTCAAGGTCCTGAGGAAGGAGAACGCAGAGAGGAGCAGAGAGTTGCTGCTCCGAGAGCTCCACACTATGGGAAACGTTAGACATCGCAACGTATTGAGGATTCTAGCAGTGTGCCCCGAAATGGACAGTCTTGTGCTGGAATTCATGCCGTTCTCCAGTCTCGAGTTCTACCTGTACAAGATGGTCGGTAGAGTCTGCCTCAGTTGGGATACCCGATTCAAAATTCTGGTCGGTATTGCACAGGGCTTGGTTTATCTGCACAGGGAGCACCAAGAAACAATTATTCATTGCGACTTGAAGCCCAGCAACATTTTGTTGGACGCCGATTTTGAGCCAAAGGTGGCGGACTTCGGCATCGCCAAGTATGTGCACACTGGCACTAGCGGAGATGACTCCATGTGCAGACTCTGTGGAACCACCGGCTATATCCCTCCGGGTAACTAATGAGATGGCTCCTGCAAAATTCCCGTCTGAATGTCTACATGTGAACATGCCTTTCCTGATCACATTAGAGAGTCTACACTCTTAGGCAACATTATAGCTCGCTCTGAGCTCCAGATCCCCAAATGTTGCTGCGTCGTGAATGTGGTGAGCAGCCATGTCCCCCGTTCTATCCAATGGAGGTTATCTGACTCACGTCCATGTGTGTGCAGAGTACGCATGGGCAAGTCTGGCGTCAACCAAAGGAGATGTTTTCAGTTTCGGCATTGTGCTTCTCGAGACTTTGACTGCAAGGAAGCCTTATGAAAATTGGGATGTCGAGGAAGGGCAACCTGGAAGCTTGGTGGAAGTCGTTAGATCTGCTTATCCTGATAAAATCATGAGCATCTTGGACGCCAACATGGTCGCACTGGAACTCGTTGGCGGATTGTATCGACAAGAGGTAACGCTGGTAATGAAGATTGGTCTTCTGTGTACGCAGGACGATCCAAGGAACAGACCAGATATGATAGACGTTCTGAATATGCTGACAGAGATCAAGGTACAGAGGTATACGGAAGCTAAAAGCGAAAAGCTGCCTGATGTTCTTGAGCTTGCAAATTCTCCAACTATTTGGGATTTCGAGGAAAATCAAACATCACCCATGTAAGACTTGTCCTCTATTTTATATAGGGACCGGTTCCTCTGCCTCTTTGATTTCATTATTTCATGAAGATTTTATGCTGAGACTGGTTAGTTCTCGTTCCTTCCTTCGCTCCGCAGCAGCAATTCGGTTTTAGCATTCATTGCAAGACTTACTGCGCTCTCGTCTAGCTGCCGATTCTTTACAATGACTGTGCCTGTAAACTTTCTTTTCCGACAGATTGCGGATGACGGAGGAAACAAGGCTCGAGGATTGGATAGCGAGGAGACAGAGGTGGAGGAGTTGAAAGCAAGAGGGACCCGTTGATCATGGTATTGGGCTTCACCTTACTTTCTGATTCCCACCACTCTTAGCAGATGATTTTTCTTTTCCAAGATAGCGACAGCAAGGTAATAAATAACACGTCAGCAGGACCCAATGATGACGGTTAGGTTCTTCTTCACCAAGACCACCGAAGACCACCGAAGGTCAGGTTGCGTGCCTAGTCTCCGCACCAAACGAAAGTCTTGAAGTGCGTGACATCTCCCCTCACTGTTGTAGCATATTTGACTTCAGCTCTACATCTACTCGTAATAAGAGCAGCATAATTCGGCTTCTCTCATCTCTTACTATGAGTATGCAATTGGGTTCAGATTCTTGAGAAGATACATTAACGTTGATAATATATTGCACTTCGCTGTCTCATTTGTGGTGTACATTTAAGACATTTCACTAGTATTTTGACAGCAGACAGTTTAGATCAGGACTCTTACCTTTCAATTCTCATTAGCACCCTCGATCTGCCTCTCTTAAATGGTGGATCTACATCGAATGAGGAAATCATATGCAGAAAATCTACTTGAAGTACTATTTCTGAATTTTAATTTCGAACATCTGTGAAACGTGATGTGAGAGTTCCAAGTAGTTGTTGTAGAAGACTATCTTAAGTGAGACTGTTTTGTACGATAAGCAAAAGCACAGCAAAAGCAAAGCACTTATCCCATTTTGTCTAAGTTTCTTTGGTTACTAGTTATATTGCTGAGCATAAAGGTGCGTTAAAGATCTAAAAAATTGACCTTCGTGTTTGTATCTGGAATCGTGCAGGGGATAAAGGATTTCGTGTGAACTCAAACCGTGATAAAATAGTGCACAAGTGAGTAATGATTTTATCAAAGTTTTAAGCCTTTGCAATTATCTTGCTTCGAACCTTTTATAGAGGGCTAACCAAATAAAAGCCAAAGGTCATTATCAAAGGTCCTCTAGTACTGACTTTGAACGAAATGGTTTTCATATGTATATGGTGAAGACGAATTAAGTTATGGGAACGAAAAGAAACTACGATAAGAAAGGCAAGAACGAAAACAAGAGATGACTGTAGAAAGGGATTTCTACTATCTATATAATGATCCTGACAAAACGAATCGGTCGAACCTATGCGGAACTAAACTAATGCTCATCTCTAAAGATGCACACGAATTGCAAAGAATTCACGAATTCAATCGGTTCACGAATTTCAAAGAGGCTCAATGCGGCGTAGATGTGAATAGAGGAAAATTTTCTGCCACGTGGCACCGAAGCCGTACTGCCGAAGGCGTCTACCGCCGAAGGCCCTTGACCCGAAGGCGCTTGATCCAAAGTCCGTTAACCCGAAGTTGCTTGACCCGAAGGCCCTCCCTATCAACAACTTCCGACACTCATAACTCATTGATCTCTCATCCGCCCCAAGCAATCTTGGGCTCGTTAGAACAAGCGTGTCGAGTTCTTTCCAACGAGACCCTAACCAAGTCAAGGCGTTATGAATTGAAAAAGTTATGAGGAATCCAGTCTTCCGCCAAAGGCACTTTCCCGCATCGCCAAAGGCGTATCCCCGAAGACGTTCGTTGCTGAAGGCGCTTGACCCGAAGTCCGTTGACCTGAAGGCGCTTGTGTGGTAACCCACTTTTTGTTTTTAAGCGGAATTTAAAACATTTTTGGAAAACAGTTTCGCATCAACAACTGTAAATAGTAATCGGTACACTTAAATAGAGTGAAAATGGATGATTGCGGGTCTCGTAGAATCTCGTAGAATCCAGGAGTTGGGCGCAACAGGCGCCCGGCCCGAACGAACGGTTCTGAGTAGACGCCTTTGGCGCAAGCCGGAGAATTCGCCTTTAGCGCTAGGGAAATCCCTCAGAATTCTCTCAATCTGTATCGCCTTGAGTTATTTAGGATCTTGTTAGAAAGATCTCGACGCGCTTGTTCTAACGAGCTCAAGAACGCTGGGAATGGATGAGAGATCAATAAGTTACAAATGTCGGAAGTTACTAAGAGGGAGCGCCTTCGGCGGAAGAACTACGTCGACGGACGAGCCGCCTTCGGCGGTGAACTCCTTCGTACGAGCGCCTTCGGCGCCAGCGCATCAAGATTAGGTCAAAGCCTTTGGGGGGAGCGACTCCGTACGGTCCGCCTTCGGCCGAACGCCTTTGGCGGAACGGAACTCCTGCGGCAAAAGTGCCTTCGGAGGGACAAGAGAGATCAACAGAAAGGACAAGACAAGTTGACTACGGTCAACGACTTCGGCTCAAGTGCCTTCGGTGCTGCGTCTTCGGTGATGCACCTACGTCGACGGACGTCTTCAAGGCAACGCCTTTGGCGGTGCGGGAATGGAAAAAGTCGAGAATCAGCCAGAGGCGAAGGCCTCCGTCGCCGCGCCTTCGGCGCTGCGCGAACAGAGCTACGTCGACGGACGACGGGTGAAATCGAATTCAATTTTTGAGCGTGTGAGCCCGCACAACGGCGGAGCGTGAAGCCTAGCGTGCGAGAGGGGGCCGTTACGCCTCCAAGCCGGCGCAGCAATCAAGTGGCTCGATCCCCACGCCAAGTGTCGAAGATGAAATCTTGTGAGCCGAAGGCGGGCAACTCATTCTTGGATATGCAATTTCGATTTCTCGCGAGAGCCGAGCGCGCACACAAATTGGCAGAGAGGAATCAAAGAAGAAGGCGAAGCGCGGAGAATTGCATGTCTGAGCGAGAGCTAAGTGCGCGACCGCGGGAATTGCTTGATAGTGTGAGTTTGCGGAGAGATCACGTCCGCGTACTAGAAGCAAGGAACTAGCGGAAGAAAGTCACGGACTTCTGAAGTGCGGTTGGGAATTTCAAGAACGCAATGTCGAAGGCGACGCAGCTGCGGATGATTCCGCTGAAGCTACCGCAGATTGGGTTGCGCGCTTTCCAGCACAAGCTGACTGCGGTGAAGCTTGATTTCCTCCTGTGGGGGTGGAATTGGATGTGCCAGGACATGGTGCGCGAGTGGCAGAAGGACAGAGACCAACCTACGCGCGGATTTTGACCGCACGTAGAGCGATGGGTCATCGTTGATTGGGAACAGGTGTTGGGAAGATGTGCGGGAGAGGACGGGCATCTCCTATTCGAGAGTGAGAGCATCAAGGTCACGAAGGAGGAGGAGATTTACTTCGCGGCCCTTTTCAAGAGCAGCAAGTCCAGCAAGAACGGATACAAGACCCGTGACTAAAAGGATTGCTACCGCAGAAATGTCGCTGTAGCACTTCTCCAGCTCTTGCAGCCGCACATGACCACCTACATCACTTCTTGGCAGGTGACATTTGTGGAGCTGGCGTTGGCCGGAGCTTCAATTCATTGGGCTCGCATCATGTGGAAGATAACGAGGCAGCATGCGTTTGAGAAGAAGGGTGGATCGATCAATCACCTCTCCCCCTTCTTGATCAATTTCTATCGGTCGATGGGTTGTCTAATCGCTACCGAGCGAGTGCAATTTCCAGTGCTGTCACACAGCAATCCGGGGCGGTATGTGAAGGACGTCGAGGTTGACACCGACAAAGACGAGACTCCTGCCTGCATGCCACCAGCCCAACCGAGAGCTGAAGAAGAATCGCTCGCAGCATGAGTGCCGCGGAAGCGAAGATGTGAAGGAGGAGCAGAGAAGGGCCAACACCGCGATTCGACTGCTCTCAAACGAAAGCGGCCACTTCACGAGCTCTGCAGTCGGCCTAAGCAGAAGGCACGCAGGCTTGTGTTGCCTGCAAGTAGCACGGAAACGGGGCGTGCCGCAGAAGGGAAGGACTCACCATCCTCGGAGGAGGATAGGAGCGTGCGGACTGCAAAGAGGTCAGCGGACCTCCCTTCGCCAAAGGCACGGACGGCTTCAGCGGAAGCAAGACGGCCTTCGGGCCAGGAGGGACGACATGCGGCACCGACGAACGTGCCGGCGTCGGATAGGTGCTCCAAGCAAGTACCGTTCGCTGACGCATCCTGGGGCAGGAGCCTTCGGCTCAAGCGGCCTTCCGCGCAGCGGACTGTGGTAACCCACTTTTTGTTTTTGTGCGGAATTTGAAACAATTTTGGAAAACAGTACTGCAGCAGCCGTGTAAATGGTGATCGGTACATTTAAATAGAGTGAAGATGGATAATTGCGGGTCTCGTATGATCTCGCAGTATCCAGAAGTTGGGCGCAATGTCCGGAATAGGCGCCCGACCTAAACGATCAATTCTGAAGGAGTACTCTTTCGGCGCAAGGTGCCTAATCCGCCTTCGGCGCTAGGGAGATCCCTCAGAGCTTATACAGTTCACAACGCCTTGACTTGATTAGGGTTTCGTTGGAAAGAGCTCAACTCGCTCGTTCTAACGAGCCCAAGAACGCCTGGAACGGATGAGGATTCAAGGAGTTGTGACTGTCAGAAGATGCAAAGATAGACGCCTTCAGCGGAAGGAGTTCGTCGTCGGCGGGAAGTCCGCCAGGAAATCCGCCTTCGGCGGAAGGAATTTGACTTCGCGTAGGCACTTCGCCATCGGCGGAATATCCGCCTTCGGCCCTAGAAGTCCGCCTTCGGGGGTGAAGTTCGTACTGCGCCTACGGCGCCAGCGCATCAAGATTAGGTAAGTACCTACGGGGTAGCGACTCTATACGGTCCGCCTTCGGCTTAACGGCTCCGGCGGAACAGACAGGTGCGCCCTCGGTGGGACAGAACTCCGACGGCGAGAGCACCTGCGGAGGGACAAGAGGGATCGACAGACAAGACGAAATCCGTTGACCACGGTCAACGCTTTCGGCACAGCCGACTTCGGCGCTGCGCCTACGCCGACGGACATCTTCAGGGAGATACGCCGACGGACAACTTTGGCGCTGGGAGTCAACGCCTTCGGCGGAGCGAGTGCGGCGGAACGCCTTCAGCGGTGCGGGATGGATGCGAGTAGCAGTGCAATGCGAGTAGCGCGTCGGCAGGAGAGACGCCTTCGGCGCTGCGCGACCATGGCCGCGGCGAAGTACGATGGCGGAACTCAAATTGAAATTTTGAGCGTGTGAGTGCACACGACGGCGGAGCGTGAAGCCGCGCGTGCGAGAGGAGGGCTGTTACACCTCCAAGCCGGCGCAGCCATTAAGTGAGTTGACATTCACGACCAAGTGCCGACCATGACATCCTCCGAGCGGTGAACAGACACTTCATTCTTGAATTTGCGATTTCAATTTCTTATGCGAGCTGCGCGCGTCCATCTTCTAGCCGAGAGAAATTCGAGACACCAACACGCAGAGACTCGCAAGGTGACAAAGAGAGAATTGAGTGCGCAACAGTCGGAATTGAGAGAGATTAGAGTTTGCAGGAGAATCGAAGTTGCGGGCAAGAAGCTTGAGCATGTAACACTAGGGTTTAGAGAGAAGTTCACTCGAAGATAGAAACGTAAACTCTGAAGATGAGAGATACCAACAATGGTTCTCCTCTCCCTTATATAGCTCTCACCAACAAGTACAAGGTGATAAGATCTAATCCCCACCATCCATCCCACTTCTAGTGGATGGATGACGTGGCGGATAACCCTAACAAGCACACGGATCGCTGACGTGGCGCACCCAACTAACACACTAACTAACACACTCAATCCTTA